TGCATTTCCTCATTTTTCTGTAAGGTAAAACTAGTGCAAGATATTCATCTTTACGTATTACAGCCATCCTGTCCTCCCTCCCCCCCTCCTCTTAAACAAAATAGATACCACATAAGCACCAGTAAAGTGCCACAATGAAGCATTTAAGACCTTTACACGGAAACAACACGCTCATTCGACACCACGAACGTGGCTACATGTTAGCCTATTCATTGGTGCAAAGTGTCACATCTATTCTTGTCTCCAAAAGAAAAAGCCAAAGAGAAACTTTGTGGCTGCACACACTTTGGAATGCTTTAAGAGGAGAGCAACCCTCTCATTACGCGGGACGATTTCACCTCCGAAGGGGAAGCTCAGCAGCTGCTAGAAACCCTTCGAAGGAGACTATTATTATTATTATTATTATTAATCATCGTCATCATCGACGGCGATGATTATTGCTGCTCCTGGCACCGAGGCAGCGCCGGGCATGCAGGATTATTTCCGTGAGATTAAGTCTGGAGTCTGAGGGAGGCTCCTTTTTTTGCGTTTGGCGGAAGGCGCTGGGAGGAATAAAGCCGCCTGGGTCTTTAACTTCTAGGATTCAGGGTTGTTAAGAGCTCTTTCCGCGCGAGTGGGAGACCTCCCAGTGCAGCGCCTCCCCTCTCTCGCCTCCTCTCGAAAAGCCTCTCCAGAGCCAACGGCTTCTCCTCGCCGGCGGCCGCCTGCAAATGGTTAAGAGGGCGCCTGGGCGAAGGGTTGGGCCTGGGGGAGCGAGGCGAGGGGTGCTGGTGTGGAGAGCACCCTTCTCCAACGAGCAAGGACCTTCCCACTTCAGGCTGCGGCTGGGGGAGGAACTCTCTCGCCTTCGCCTTCCCTGCCGTCGACTGGAGCACACCCTCCAACGCCACCCCTCTCTCTCATACACACACCAGCCACCCCCCGCGCGCTCTCCCTTCTCCCTCCCTCTCTCCATCTCCCCCCCCCCTCCTCCCTCTCTCTCCCCCGGCCTCCCTTGCGCTCTCGGCACGCACGCACGCACAGAGGCAAGTTAATGGGGAATAAAGAGGCTGGAGTCCGCGGCAAGTGCCTGCTCCTTACAAATGAGCCTCCAGGCAGCTTTTCCCACCCACCTACCCACCGCCCCCCTTGCTCCTCCACAGCCGCCGCCGCCCGCCCCTCCGTCGAGGAAGGAGGGGCGGCCAAACGTGGCCTCTCGCTGCGTTGAGCGCGCAGGAGGAGGAGGAGGAGGCGTGGGGGAGGGGATTGGAGAGGGAAAGCGGAGCAGTGGCCCGTGCGCGCCTCTTGTTCCCGGTGTAATTTGCAGCCAATCATCAGTAGGTGTCCACATCCCTGCATCCTCCTCACCTCCCTGGCGCGCCTCTCCCTCCCCCCCCCCACGTCTCTCTTCTCTTCTCTTCCCTCCCCTCCCCCAGCAACCACACACACGCAGGCACACACACAAACAGAGAGGGGGAGAGCGAGGGGGAGAGAAAGAGAGAGAGACTCCCCCGGCTGCGTCCCTCCCTCCCTCGCACACAGCGACTGGAGAGACGGACGGAGCGCAACGCGCAGGAAGAGGAGACCACCGAGCAGCACAGCCAAGCGCTCTCACACATTCACGCGCGCACGCACATACACACACACAGAGCACACACACAAGCGCGCGCACACACACATTCAGTGCCTGCTCTTTCCTCTCTCTCCCCCTCCCTTCCCCCCTCCTCCTTTCTCTGCAACAAGGAGAGAGAGAGAGAGGAGGAAAAAAAAAAAGAAAGCCACTTACAGGTATTTGCTTAGTGGATCGGCGTCTTTATTCCTTTCCCACCGACCCCCCTCCCTCATCACCGCCCTTTTACAGTTTGTTTACAAGTATCAAAGTTGGAATTTGAGTAGCTGCCAAAGACACATCGGGATATTCTTCCTTTTTTCTTCTTTTTTCTTCTTTTTTTCCACCCCCTTCTTCTTTGTGTTAGGGAGTGATGTGCAACTAATTAAAGACAGACAGGCGGGTTAAGCGTCTGCAAAATCCAAGTGTCCCCCCCAAAAATACAGAGACTGGTAAGTGATTGTTTTTGGATCTCTTTCCTTCCTCCCCCCCCCTTTTCTTTCTCTTTTCTTTCTTTTTTCTCCCTTCCCCCTTCCTGTTATCTCTCCTCTCCTCTCCCCCCCCCTTCTTGTGGTCCGCTGGGGTTGTTAAAGTAGATGAATGCTAGGCTTGGGCAATAAAAGGCGCTGCTGTATTAATTTATTAATTAATCTGCACCAGCCCCTCCTCCTGAATGTTAAATATGACCTTTGATCTCTCTGTCTCTAGCAGGAGCAGATATGCAATATTGAACATGTACAGCCACATTGGCTTAAGCAGCGAGTAGATCGCAGTCTCTTTAGCTGCTTTTAATTATCCGGGTTTTTTTTAAATTAAAAAATAAAATAAAAAAATCGCACGATAGTTTAATTTAAAAAAGAAAAATCAATAGCTACGTCTTAGACACCTCTTTCGCGCTCCAGAGATGCATCGATTAAACAATAATGACCTGGTTGGTGGGCACCATAATTTTCTCGTTTCTGGTAGCAGTAAACCTTGAAAGGGGATTTGGTGGTGGCGGTAAGAGAGAAGAGGCTGAAATTGTAGCAGGGGTTTCCTGGAGGGGGGAAAAACATTTAAAATGCAACGAAAATGGGGCATAGACGTGTGTTTTGTTGAGAGCCTATGTGATATTATTATTATTATTACTCAAACATTATCACTATCTTTTCCAATGTGAGTGCATTGCCTATGCAGAACCAGAAAAACTACTTGTATTAAGTAGTTGCTGTTAATGGAAATGAAGTTATACTTTCTTTTCCTTTTTAAAAAGTAGCCTTATTTCATACACTGAATTTTTTCTGTGATTAGGTTGTTTTTGTGCGTGTTTTCAGAATAGGGAGAAGACCTCCTTGTTGCAACCAAATCCTTACAAGGAGCAGTGGTTTCAGTCTTTCCCCCTGATGTAAAAATGCAGAGGTGGCTCTAGTGTGATTAGGGTCTTTCCCTGATTAAAAGATGCGTGTTGGTCCCTATCTGCCAGACAAGACTGATGTGACTTTTCTTTCTTTCTAGATTTGCTCTCATAATCTGGATTAGTTTACCTAAAACCCTGCTTTTCAGTCTACCCCAGCAGTTAAATGACGAAGTCCCCCCCCCCCCAAGCTAGTAGGATGGGCTAGAAATGGTTCATTAGTCTAATTATGACTGTAATTAGTATAATTGATAACTATTTTTCAACTGTAGGAATCAGGCATAAAACTGTACTGGGGTCCTTTCTTAGTGTCTCTGGGGGACCTAATATTCTGTTTACAAGTGAAAAAAACAGGGGGATGTTGCAAGTATAAACACTGTTTGGTGGGAGGTGGAACCACATTCTGGATGACAAAGATATATATTGTGTCCAGTTTGGTTTTTGGTTTGTTTCACTTCCTAAAGGTTGGAAGAGTTTACTTCTCCCCGTGTTACAAACTAATACGCCCTCTCTGATATTGGATGGCCTATGTGAAATAAAAACAAAACCCCACGACCCATATGCGAGTAGGTAACCCACAGCAAGGGGTATACCTTGCAAATCTTTTTTTTTAATAAGACTGATAAAGTGTATTTGGGAGGTGGTGCGTGCCTCCTTGATATCTAGATTTTCTTTTTACATAGCGTCCCTGGCTTGAAGGTTGTGTAGCATGTTAAGTGACTGCGTGGATATTCAGTCCCCTTGCAGCTGCAGGATCTCATACCCAAACCTGTGAAATTGCCTTGCATGTGTGTGTATAAATATATATCCCCCACCTCAACCCAGTCCCTTTATTATTTACTTAATTTGGGGGGCTGGGCAAGGACCTTGGCTCCCCCTCTACTAAAGAGACCTGATCTAGGGACCCTGCAACACAGCCAGCTGTGCTTCAAACTGATGACACCCCCCTCCCCCAGATTCAGAAAACAGTTCCTGCTAATCCTAAAGAACCAACTAGGTGAAAACAAAACAAAATCTCGATATTCCGACGGAGGAAGGTCGACTCTTGGCGGCATTGTGCTTCCTCCTACTTTTTAACGCCTGAGCAGACTTTCTTCTTCTCCTCCTCGCGCTCCCTTTGCTCATCCCGCCCCCCGCCCCCCGCCTGGTTTTCTCCTCCCGAGCCCGCTGCTCTCCAGCCCCGTCTTGCCCTGGCAACCCGGCTCGTTCACACATTTCCTAAAGCTCCGATGCCCTCTGGTGAGAGGATTGGGAGCCCTTTCCCACCCCTCATTTGCATGTGTTTAGCACTCCGGTTGCCCCTTCTCCCCTGGCATTTGTCAGCCCGCCCTCCCCTCCTCCCTCTCCCTCTCCCCAGCTATTAAAGCATTTACCGCGGGGTGGGATTGGAGGGGGCGGCGGCGGAGGGGGGGTGGAGGAGGAGGAGGAGGTGAAGGGAAGGTGGCCGGAGAGCGGAGGAGGCACCGTCGGCTGCTGGGCTGGGATCATGTCTTTATTGATTGTTATGCAAACGAGCAGGGGTGACTGACGGGCCCCGTCTCTCCCCGCAGCGTGTGTTGTGTGGTGTCTTTTGAACACAACAAAACAAAAAACCCTCGCACGCACAGACAGTCCTCTCTCTCGCGCGCGGATCCTCTTTCCCTCCTTCTGCGTAGACTTTCCCCCCGAAATGACTTTCTTTCTTTCAGTTGCGACGGTTCCCGGGGAGGAGGACGACGACGAGGACGATGCAAAAGAAGAGGCTGCCTGAGAAGACTTCGCCGTGTGCCGAGATGCCCCCCAAGAGGATTAGAGGGCAGCGCTTCCCCCCCTTCCCTCCCCCTGACCCCCCGGGCTACCCAGCACCCGGCCCGGCCCCCCCGACGGCTCCCGTGGCCCTCCTCCCCGCCCTGCCCTTCCCTCCCCTGGCCCTCCCCGGCCCCCCCTTCCTCTCCTCGCCCCCTCCCCCCTCCTCCTCCTCCTCGTCGTCCTCCTCCTTCCCGCCCACCCTGTTGCCCCAAGCCCACCCGCACCCCCACCCTCACCCCCACCCGCACCCCCACCCCCTGGGCACCATGAACACCAACGTGTGCGTGGAGACGGGGCCCACCGCCGAGGCGCCGGGCCTGCCCAAGGAGAACCACCTGCCCGACGGCGCCCTCAACAGCCTTGTGGATTACAACTCGGAGATGGAGAGGTACCGCTCCTTCGCCACCTTCTACAAGACCAACGGCGGCGCCTTCCCGCAGGCGGCCAAGATCGCGCGCATCACCACCCCCATCTTCCCCAGCGCCGCCGCCGCCGCCGCCGCGCGCATCGGCATGTCGCCCTGGAACTGCGACACGGCCACGGCCGCCGCCGCCACCGCCATGCTGTGGGGCAGCGGCGCGGGCGGCGGCGGCGCGGGCGTCGGAGGCCCCGCCAACCCGGCGGCGGCCGTGGCCGGCGGCGTGGCGGCCCGCAAAGCCGCCGCAGCCGCTGCCGCCTCCTCCGCGGCCGCAGCCGCCGCCGCTGCAGCCGCCGTGGTGTCGTCGTCGGTGTCGTCTGTGTCGTCGTCGCTGCACGCCGCCGGCCGGAGTGGCGGGGGCGGTGGCGGGGCCGGAGCCAGCGGCCTGCACCACCGCGGCGACTCCCAGCAGCGCCTAGGCAAGCCGGGCTGCGCGCCGGCCGAGCAGGCCTCGTTGCAAATGGCCAACAACAACTTCCTCTCCACCTTGGCGCCCGAGCACTGCAGACCTTTGGCGGGCGAATGCATGAACAAGCTCAAATGCGGCGCCGCCGAAGCGGAGATAATGAATCTCCCCGAGCGCGTGGGGACTTTTTCCGCTATCCCGGCTTTAGGGGGCATCTCATTACCTCCCGGGGTCATCGTCATGACAGCCCTGCACTCCCCCGCCGCAGCCTCCGCAGCCGTCACAGACAGCGCGTTTCAAATTGCCAATCTGGCAGACTGCCCGCAGAGCCATTCCTCCTCCTCGTCGTCCTCCTCCTCCCTGGGAGCCGCCGGAGGAGGAGGAGGCGGAGGGGGAGGCGGGGGCGGGGGAGGAGGAGGAGGCGGGGGAGGCGGAGGCGGAGGAGGGGCAGGCAACCCTGCCAAGAAGAAGAGGAAAAGGTGCGGGGTGTGCGTGCCCTGCAAGAGGCTCATCAACTGTGGCGTGTGCAGCAGTTGCAGGAACCGCAAAACGGGACACCAGATCTGCAAATTTAGGAAATGTGAAGAGCTAAAGAAAAAACCTGGCACTTCGCTAGAGGTCAGAGGCGATGATTTCTTTCTTCCCAGCCTGCCGCCGTCCCTCGTGAACCCCCTTCCCCCGCCGCTCCAGTGCTTCTTGTCTAGTTTCAAGATGCAGCACCCCTTCTCTGAAGCCTCCTTCAGGTTGTGAGGAGGTGGGGAGAGAAAGAGAGAGAGACCCCCCCTGCCTTCTCTCCCTCGGCCCTGCTTGGGCCTCTCCACACACACACAACACAGGCGCAAGCCAGCCCCCCAGGTCCCCAGCCACTGGTTTTTGGATCGCCCAGGAACCCAGCTTGTCAAAAACAGGGTGGCAGGTCCCCTGGAATAAATCTATGGCAGGGGACTTTGAGGGATTTTGTCCCGCTTTTCGTTTATTTTTTCTTTTGGTCCTATGGAAAAGGGAAAATAAAATAAAATAAGGGTGGTGGCGGGTGGAATCAGGAAGCCCCCTAACTTTTGTTATGTGGAAATGAAAAGAGAAAAGTCTGACATAATCATTTAACATCAGAGAAAAGGATTTTTTATATATATTAAAAAATCATTATATGAAGATTAAAAAAGAAAAAGAGAAACACTTCTACACAAGTTGAGCTTATTACACTATAAATTGATCTGAACAAATCCTGTATATTTTTTCTGTTGCTATAAAGAGTTCTGTCTGGTGACATGTAAACTATTTTTTACTTATGTGAAACCAATGGTGAAGGGTGAATCTTTTGAAAACCTGAAATATTTTTTAATGCACATGAAGCATTTATTTTTAAGTTTTAAATTGTGGCCATTTGGAGGGACCCCCCCCCCCATTGTGTGTGTGTGTGTGTGTGCTGTGTGGGTTTTGTTTCATTTGGAGGTTAGGGCAAAAAAACTTTTTTTTTTAAGTTGACCCCCAATTTTACCATTGTCATCAGTTCGGAACAAATTAATAGCTAGCTGATTTTTTAGGATGACTCTTTAGGGGTGACTTGGTGTTAATCAGATGCAAGGAAACGTTTGGTGGTAAAGGTAAAGCAGTTGGTGAATTGGCCTAAGAATAACATACTTTTTTTGCAATGCATCCTTACCAAAAAAAATTAACCCTTTTGCGGTATGTTTTACAATTTGATAAAAGTACATCTATGACTGAAGTTATTATGTGTGATTGAAATGTATATACATTTATTTTTAAAAAGAATCTTGTCCTCAGAATTGACAATGTATCACAAAGCTGTAAAAGACAAGTTTCCCAGTTTGGTAGACAACACAAAAACAACAGCCAAGAGGGGATGTTGTGGAAATTGCAGTTCATGTATTTAGTCTAGCAGAAAGGGGTGTGGGAAAGAAAAAAAATGTGTAAAATGACTAATGGTATTATTTTTAGATGGAGGAAAACAAGAGGAAAGACTTGCAATCATATTTAAACCCCTGTCATTATTAAAATTATAGTGTTGCTGGTTAGATGAACATATCGGAAGAGACTGTGTGTGGCTGGGGAGAGCTGAAATGGTACCAAAAGTTCTTTATAGGCTGAGAGATGTAAAGCAGGGATGAGAAACCTGTGGCCTGAGCAGGGTCAAGGGCCAGGTAAGATGGGAGACCTGTAGCTCAACAACACCTTGCAAGGCCACAGGTTCCCCAGTCTTGATGTGAAGTCACCCAAATTAGGAACTTGGTGAGACTCGCAACTGTGACCAACAGGAGTTCTATAAATGGATACATTTCTGCATTAAATGTTACCACTAAGTTAAAAGTTCTCGTTTAAAAAAACAACCAACTAACACATGATGATCTTTTTTTTTTTTTTTTACTTTGCCCTTTGCAAGATTGAACTATCCTTTTGGAAAGTTTAATAACTCAGGCTGCAATCCCATGCACACTTTCCTGAGAGTAAGCCCCATTGAACGCAGTGGACCTTACCTCCGCATAAACATGCATAGATTGCATTTGTCATTCCTTCTTCATTTCCCATTGCTGCTTATTGTGCATATATGATAAATGGATGTCACATCAATGCAACACACTGTGGATTACGCTTCAGATGGTAGAAATCGGTTGTATATAGATTTGCCTGTTATTTTTGGTTGCGAATGCACTCCTGTTTATTTCATAGAACATTTCAAAGAATGTATATTGTGATTTTTACAATAAACGGTAAATGCTGGATTTGAACACTAAACCATAACCAAAAATAATTTATTTTTCTCTTCCTGGTGGCAGTAAATGTAATCTTTGCAATTCTGTGATATTTCTCCGTAGACAATGTGCCCCCCCATTCAGTTAGTTTAGTTATGTCTCTGGTAAGGCTGCAGTCCGAAGCACATTTAGTCATGAGTACGCAACATTGAAAACCATGGGATTTACTTTAGAGTAAACCTAGGGAAGAGAGGGCTGAATGTCCCATTCAGATTAGTGGGAAATCTTTTGTAATGATTGAAGTCCCATTGCATTAAACTGATAGGGAATCTAATCCTGTGCATGTTAACTTCGAAGTATATCCCACTATGTTCAGTGGGGCTTATTCCTAAGTACCGGTAAGTGTGTGTAGGCATTGTGGCCTTAGCAATGAACTACATGGTTGTCTTGGCAAATGCATGTTTCCAAACCCATATTTGCTAAAATAATGGGAATGTTGGAGGTAAGGAAAGAGGTGCTTAACCCTTCCTGCACCAGCAGATTTTTGTCTGCAAATACCCTCACCCAGGTTAAGGAAAAACTGCTTGGGACGCAATGGAAGGGGATTTGACAGCAAAATGTGAAGATATAGGCACTTCTTCCTATCCTCTAGTTTTCCTTACATTCCCACAAAAGTGTTGCGAGGTTTGAGACACAGGGTAGGGGCTTCAGGATTCGTTCATGCCTTAGTCGCAACTGAACATTTTTGCTGGGCTGAGGCCAGGTCTGCTTTCAACAAGTCTGCAATCTTTTGTAAAGCAGCTTGTTTTGTGAACTTTTCCTAAACTTTATAGCCCCACCCCAAGTGCTCAGAAATAAGCCCCAATGAATTTAGTTGGCTTTGCTTCCTAGCAACGATGCTCAAAACTATACCATAAAGTACGGTTGTAATGTAGCTTTGGGGATGTAAATCCTGCAGGATTATTGATCTGTCCAATCAATGAGGCAGTGGGTGGAAACTGATTTATGAATGAAGATTTGGCAGGTGTCTCTAGGTACATTTGATGCACTCTCTGTTTGCCGGACAAAGAAAGCCCTGTACCTTCAAAAATTGCCCAAGCATGTCATATGAGATCATTGCATATTAAAACTGCTTAATAGCTATGGCTAGTAAAAAATGCATGGGTTTATTAGTACTTCCTTAACTTTTGCTGTTGTTGCTTGTCTCCTATTGACACACACACTGTGCTGTTACACCTGAACTAGAAGAAAGGAACCACCCCCTTCTAACTAGTTACCAATAGTCATTCACTTCTGCGGATTGTAGCCATTCAGTCGCAAAGGATATCATTGCATGTGACTAATATCCATATAGGCACATTACTTGCCAGCTAGAAAGAAGTTTAAATCGACTCATTTTCTGTTCAAATTAGGTCCACTATCCCCCCCCCTTATTTCTCCTTTCCCCTTCTTTCCCCCCTTTTTGTTTTAATTGGATAATAAAGAGTGACAGCATGACTGCTTAAAGCTCATGTGCAGCAACACGGGTCTGGTTGTAAGGCAACCAGCTGGAAGCATGTCAGAGACTGACAGGGCCTACAGGACTGAACTGACGCCTCCACAGCGGTTGCAGGTGGGTGAGAATAGTCTCCCCGCTGAACTGGCTTCCCAGGCTGAGATTGGCTCATGGTGTCTGCCAATCAATGCTTGGGCCAGCGGTGAATCACTGCAGTCTTGATGGGTTGCTGTCTGAAAGGAAGCAGAAAAAGTAGGGCTCTTCAGTTCTGTTGTGTATTTTGAAAAAGCCCTGAATGGTGTTTCCCAGTTAGCACAAAATGCATCCTATCTTGCCTGGAAAACCTGGACATGCATGAAATGGAAGCTACAACAATGTATTCCATCCTCCAGTCGAACTTCTTCCTCCCCTGCTTTTTCTCCTTTATATTAATAGAACTTGATTTTAATACAGTTACAGCTCCAAGCCAAATGCTCTGGTGTGCAAGCAGAGACTTTGGTGTACAAATAGAACTATCTGAGAGGAAGGATTTCCTATTCACTTCAATAAACTCTGGATATTTTGCTCACATAAGTCTTTTGCATCTATGAAATGGTCCCCAGCTCTAAAGCAGGGATAGGGAACCTCTGGTCCTCCAGGTGTTGTTGGACTCCAAATCTCATCATCCTTGGCCATTGGCCATGCCAGCTGGAGCGGATGGGGAGTTGAATTCCCACAACATCTGGAGGGTTACAGATTCCCCATTCCTGCTTTAAGCTTGCTGAGTTTAGGATTGGAGCAATGAAGTTCAACACTGCTTCGCATTTGCATCAGCATGTTTTCCTGGGACATGGGAACATTGACAATATAGCATGTTTTGTGACACTGTGCTATGGTACACCTTCTAAAGGTATGCAGGAGAAGCAAGTCTTGGGGCTTCTCTTAAAGCCTCTTACCCCTCTCTTATGCAAATAAGTCTGCAAAAGTTTGTAACCACTTAAATTTGTGTTGCTAGCCACATACCCTGGCAATTCATTTGCCCATTGTTTACACATACCAGGGCAAGTCACTTGTGCTAGTTAGTGGAAGAAATAAACTCTCTTGTTCACAGAAAAAGATACTTTGGTCACTTGGAGGCATTTCTTATAGCCACAAGAAGATCAAAAAGTTTCCATCTTCAGATCTGTGTATTTTATGCATGACCCATAAGCTTTTGAAGAAAGAGTTGCCTCCGTGTGTGTGTGTGTGTGTGTGTATACACACACACAAATCTGATTTCATTTTTCTTACATAAATCTCACCCAAAGAGCACTTAGTGACTGAGTGATTTTTAAAAATGTAACATAATAATATGAAAATTTCAGTGCATGAAATTAATAGTAGCAAATGCATAAAATAAGATTGATGTCATGTAGAGCCCTGTGTATTCACAC